TCGGCGCGTCGCCCCCAGGAGGCGCTACGACGGGCGACGGGGACCCGCGCGTCGCCCCCCGTCGCCCGTCGTGGCCTGCGCGCGGCCCGTACAGCCGGCGCGCGGCCCGTACGGGCTGCGCCAGGCCCGCGCGCGGCCCGTACGGGCTGCGCCAGGCCCGCGCGCGGCCCGTACGGGCTGCGCCAGGCCCGCGCGCGGCTCGGGCCGCCTGCGCGCGGTTCGGGAGGCTGTGCCAGGCCCGTGGGCGGCCCGTTCTTCGCTGCCCCTGTCCTCCCCGCTGTCCCCCGTGCCTCTGAAGGCGCCCCACCCCTCCTTCTGCCCGTTCTCCTGGATTAGGGTTTGGGGGTGGGGAGTATGGGGGTGCAGCTTCTGTGTGCCGTTCCCTGCTCCTCCTCCTCCTCCGTCTCCCTGTGCTGCAGATGCCGCTGAGGGGGGGTGGACCTGTTGGAGCCGTCGGAGTGGTACTAAGGGGGGGTGAAGGGGGAGTGGAGCTAGGGGTGAAGCAGGGGGTGTGTGTCAGGGGGGGTGGTACTGTTTGGGGGAGGTTGAACGGAGGTTGCCGTCGTGTCGCCAGCAGCACCTGTAGTCCGGGGAGTTGCTCCGGTAGCCCAGTCGTAGCCACCTGTGCCAGTCGCCCCTGGGTCCGTTGCTCGTCTGCCGCTACTTTTAGCCGCGGGGCCAGTTACTCCAGTAGTCCGGAGCGCTGTTCCGGTAGCCGCTGTGCCAGTGTGCCTCCTGTTGCCCGTGTGTCTGCAGCTTCAGCCGTCGCCTCCTATCTCCTCTCCTCTCACTGTCCCTCCTCCTCCTCACTTGCCCGTTGTGACTACCACTAGCTTTGCTCATAATTGTGAACTTTAAACTATTGCTTCCTGAACTTGTGCTCAGAATGTGTGGTGACATTGTGATCCACCCTGAGCTTGTTCTGCTTTGCTTGCTCTGCTGATTACACCCCACTTTGGCTATGGGGGTGTGTCAGAATATTATGCTCTAGCCTGTAGTGGGGTGCTCTATAGCGAGTACAACCCTTCTAGGGTTTGCTATTTGTATCCTCATTCTTGCTAGTGCAACTCCTCCTTCTTTGCCTAAACTGTTTCTTGCCTAGCTAGGGCTTTCCTAGCTATGGCGCCTTCTTCTACTGCTCATTTTCACAAGTACAGCGGGACTTGTTGTAGGCTGGTTCTGATGTACGAACGGGTTTGCCGGTAATTGCTGATGCGTTTCGTCATGTGACATGTAATCATGTCAGGGTTTTGAGTGACAAGAAGGCCTCCAACGCGGGCATGTTGCTGCTATTGCGACCGGACCACCTGGGGCTTGACGCGACCTCACCCTGGAAAACCCGCTTTGTCCGCGTTTGTCACCCCACTGCCGCGGCTGAGCATCTTGCCGCGGTGGACCATATTGTCAAGTACGTATGTTGCAGAGGTGCTGTTTTTACGCTTGGTTGCTATTATACCTCCGTGTCTGAGATACGTATTTTGAACCGTGCAGGTGGTTTCGCGGTCGCGTTTGCCTCTACTACGGGAGCGATTCTGTCCAGTGCGTCCGGGCAGGGCAGCTGGGCGAGCCGACGCGCCTCGTGGACCTGGTGAGTTTGTTAATGTTCGCGGTTTATATGTCGCATTTCATTTGGCCGCGTTTAACACTACATTCCGTCCACCCTGTTTCCTTTCAGAATATTTCTTCCTGGAAGCCCCCTTGCGGTCCACTCGCATGTGGGTTCGCGTTCGACAGAGTTCTCAACGACCTCGACGCGGTTGTTGGACACGACCCTGCTCCTCGCATCGCCAAGCCAATTGCCAGGACGCTGAACACATTGCGGCAGGATGCGAAACGCGCCGCCGAAGAGCTCGCGTTCAGATCCCGGTGCGGCATCGCGGACGGTCATGGGGGGGATGCTCACGGCAATGACCGTGAGAGGTCGCACGAACACCCCGCGGGATCCCGCGTGTCCGGACGCGATAATATCGCTCTCAACACAGCTCTTGCACTCGCGAACACAGGGGAGGGGGACCAGGGGAAACCGGACAACAAGGAAGAGGGCTCGAGCTCTGACCGCGACGAGGACGCCCCTGTTAACGCGCCGCAGGGTGGAGATGACAACAATGAAGAGGAGGCAGACGAGGCAGAGGGTCAGGGTCGCGGTCAAGACGAGGCAGACGAGGCAGAGGGTCAGGGTCGCGGTCAAGACGAAGAGGATGCCGCGGAGGATCACCAGCGCGGTGATCTGGAGCTGGAGGGTTCGGAAGAAATGGAGGAGGAAGAGGACGACGAAGATGATGAGGAAGAGGAGGAGGAGGTGGCGGAAATCGCGGCCAACAATTCCGGGCGGTCGGCGGTCGCGGTCGCGGGTGCAGGGAAGAGTATTCGCGGTCTTCAGGCTGTGCTGTCCCCCCGCCATGGCAGCGCGACCCCGTCGGGCGAGTTTGCGGGCAAGAGTCCGGTCTTGGGCAAGCGGAAACACTCGGAGCTGGTGAAGATGGCTCCTGAGAAGCTGGCCGCGGAGATCCTCCGTTTGAACGAGCAGCTGAAAAATCAGACGCGCAAGCTGGATGAGGTGGCGTCCGCGGTGCCCGGTGCTGAATTTGCGGTGGTGATCACGCAGAAGTACGAAGAACTCGAGGCCACGGTGGAGAAGGTGCTAACCCACGTGCAGAACACGGACCGGGTGATACGCAGGGAAGCCAAGCTGGCCGCGAAGGACAGGGCGGAGAATCGCGACATGCGGGAGGTGCTGAAACGCGCTGCGGTCCGGTTGGAAGATTGCGCGGGGAGCATGAAGGGGGTGGTTGTGGACTCCATGGAGAACGCCCACAAGAAGCTCACGGACGAGGTCGCACGGAAGATAGACGGCGCGTCATCCAACATCGCGAGTACCGCCGAGAAAGCGATCACAACTAGTGGCGTCACGAACTCCCTCAACATCATCATCGCGATGCTTTCCGGGCGTGCAGCACCGCAACAAGTCTCCGATGGACCGCGTGGGAAGGAGTTCGCGGAGAAGGAGGCAGGGAAGATGTCCGCGGAGAAGGAGGCCGGGAAGAAGGCCACGGACAAGGAGACAGTGAAGAGGGTCGCGGACAAGGAGACAGGGAAGAGGGTCGCGGACAAGGAGGCAGGTAAGTGTGAGAGCAGCAGGGGTGGGAAGCGGCAGAAAGGGGTCGCGATCCATAGCGTCACCGACCTTCTGAAGTCCAAGGGTGGCGCGGTCGTCGAACGTGCTGCGGGGACCAACAAGGGGGCTGCTGTTGCTGCTGGACCACCGCCTGTGACCTCGGGGGTGGAAGCTGGTAAAGGCAAGGCCAAGGTCGAGGACGCCCCGCCAAACACCACCTCCACCACCACCGCCATCACCACCGCGATTGTGCCCGCGTCAGGCAACACCGCCGCGGTCGCGCCAGGACAGCCTGGACCCAGCTCAATCGCCCCTGCCATCCCCCCCTCTGCAGATGTGAAGGCGAAGAATCAGGGCCGCAGTGGTTGTAAGCCTCCTGCAGCCGCGTTGAAGTGTGAACGCGACGACGACGACGACTCGGACGCGGACGATGAGGTTGAGCTTGTGATGCAGAGGTTCTTGGGGCCAAGCGACACCAGCGGAACAAGCGGCAAGCGCAAGGGCTGTGGTATCCGCCCTCCGCCCAGGGGTGGGGAGGGGATGGTGGGCGAACCGTGGCTGGGGGGGAGACGTCGCTGGCTCGGACATCACTCTCTCCAAGAGGTGCAGTATCTGACCGCGATCGCGGTGATGTGTTACGACAAGAAGATAGACCCCGGGCTCAAGCTGACTGCGCAGCAGAAGAGTGAGTGGGCCGAGGACATCTCCGCGGCCGGGACATTGTGCACCGGGCTATTCGCCACCATGCACCTCCGCAACCTTTGCGGCAATGTTGGCAGGTACGGTCATCTGATCACTCAGTTGTTTTACGCGGTCACACTCGTGCCTAACCATGTTGCGTGTTACCCCATGCATGCAGGTACCACCACATGTTCAAGGCCTACCGCGACCTCACCCGCCGCGGGTCCCCGATCGGCAACGCGATAGCTTGGGCAGCCGCGGTGGGGAAGGAGGCTGCAGATGAGGAGCCCGATGTCACCGGCGCCCAAGCGGGCCTGTTCGCTGGTGCGGTCGCGTGCGCCATCGCGATGGTGTGGGAGACCAGCAACGGTCTCGAACTCGAGGCTATCGCTGATGCTGGATACTCCGCGGCGCAGCTTGCTGGCACGCCAGAAGAAACGGCCCGCGGTTACGCCACGATCGTGACCGCGGTTTTCAAGTGGGCCAGGAAGGAGAATGCTCGCAAGCAAGCCCCTGAGGTCACACCGAAGCAGATCGCGGAGAAGATTGAGACCGCGGTTGTGAACTGTCTTGGTGCGCGACTTGGAGACCCCACTTTAGTCGCTATGGTCGCGCACGAGGCAGTAGACGTGCTGATGACCTGGTGCGACTGCAAGATCGCGGCCAAGGCGATGGAGGCCAACGGGCTCTACCTCTCTTTGCCGGAGAAGCGGCTGTCCGCGAAGAAGAGGTCCGCGTAAAGGTGGTAGTATAGAGGATGTGAACTCTAGGTGACAAAGACTCTTGTATGTGTGGTCGCATGAGACTCCTGGTAGTGTAGGTAGCTTGCCCACCCTGCTTGAGATTTTCTCGCGGTGGTCATTCTGTCTGTGCTGTGTACTCCCTCCCCTTTTTCGTAATTCAACTCTTTTGCTTCTCATGCGGCCAGGGATTTGCGTAAATCCACCATGGGCATTGACCTAACATCACCCCTAAATAGGCACGGCGCTGATGGGAAGTATGCACGAGAGCAATAGCCGCGGGCAGTATGTGAACGCGTATGCGGTCACCTTAAACGTGCATTTTTTGGTGAACAAACTGTACAGACCACACAATTCGACCGCGGTACAATTAACACCCGAATCTAGCAGTATGGTACTGGGTGTACCTGTTTGAAACACAATCTAAAGCTATTTCCCAACGCGAACATAGTAGGACCACCCAATTAAGCTAGTCGGGGCATCTGGGCACAGTACTGAGGCCACGCGACCGGAAACTCTGACGCGGGTAGAGAGGCATCGATCATGCGGTCGCGTACCAGCATCCATTTCACCCGCAACTGCACCTCCGCCGGAGAACCTTTTTTCAGCTCGCTCAGGTTCAAGTCAACACTCTTCTTCTTCACCGCGATACCTTCCGACACACCCGACATGCCCACAGTTCGAGACACGAGGTCGAGCTTGTCGAGCACGACCGCGATGTTGTCTCCCTGCTCCACCCTGCGGGAGATGAAGTCCATGACTCGCTTTACACGGTTTATCGCGTTCTGGGCGGCGTTCTGGCCGCCTCCCTCCTTCCCAATGAGCTCGGCCATTCGCGTAACTGCACCGCGGGGTTGGGACAGGGGCGACTCTGGACTCTCACCGATCAGCGGGTGCGTGGACTTGTACAGCTTCCATCCGTCCGACGGCTTGGTCGCGTTGACCCACGGTTTCATGATTGCGTCCCGAATTGTCTCGTCCCTGGTCGGCTGTGCGGGTTTCTTACGCGTTCCCTGGTCGGTGGGGGTTGCGGCATTGGTAGGTGCGGCCGCGGCTCTAGGAGTGTTTGCCGGACTCGGATCCGCGGTCGGCCCTGAGCTGCTCACGGTGAGACGCGACAGCTGGGCCTCCAGATCATTCACGCGTTTGTCTTTCGCGGCCAGCTCCCGATCGCGTTCTTCCAATAGACCCTCCAGCTCTTTCACCCGTTTATGAGTCGCTACCAACTCTACACCCAGCCTGGTGTTGTCCGCTTGCGAACGAGTTAGGTACTCAGTGAGGACGGTCACCTGGTTCTGCGCGTCCATTCTGGTACTGACCTCCTGCATATACAGAACGCGAACGCGATATTGTGATGGGTACTCATAGACATTACAGCCGAATTAGTAACGCGACCATATGGTACGCACCGCGGGATGGGTCAGTGTAGGTGTGTTACGCTGTACTATGGCCAGCTGATTTGCCAAGGAGACATCTGCTGCCCACCGCGCAAATTCCTCCGTCTGGCAGAGCGGGTTGTTGACCACGTACGGGTGTCGCGGCTGGTGGATGTAATACATGGCCAGGTCTTGCGCGACCGCCATCCTAGCCTCCCCATCCAACTCCTTCAGTATGTTTAGACCCGCGGTGTCCTGCTTCTCCGCCTTGTCCTCGCTGACCATCTTCCGGTTGTAATCATGGCACTGTGCAACACAACAACGCGGTAGTTAGCGCGGTGCCAGAGGGTTATGTGGAATGATCGCGGTCATTTGATACTACTGTACGCGGCCCACACATACCTGTTTCTGTCCTTTGTCCGGTGCGGCCCAGGGGAAAATGTGCTTCCTCAATTGCTTCTCCAGCTTCTCACTCACCGGAACAGTTGCGCGACCCAGGAAGTAGTCACCATCAACCTCTGTGAAGCCAGCCTTCAGGAGCACGGCCTCCCTCGGAATAGTTGTGAGGTAGTGCTTAGTCATCACGTCGATGAAGCGCCAACCCCCCAGTCTCGCCAGCTGATCAGAGGGCATTTCGTCCGCGGACGCGTGCCGAGCCCCACCAGCTCTCGTCGCGTGAACCACACGCGAGCATGTGATTCCCGCGTCCCCCAGAATCTTCGCCGCCCAGTCGTGATGAGTCGTGGGCGGTATCTGCTTCTCTGTGCCCGCGCGAAGGGGGAAGAAGAGGTACTGGTCGTACCACGTCGAGGGTTCCGTGAAGTCGAGAGGGGGGGCTATGTCCCCGTAGAGGATGGGGACCAAGTCGTACACCCAGTGCAGCCAGAGCAGCGTGGCTCCGACCGCGCACAGAGTCCAATCTATGTGTCTCACTGCCGAGATGTAGTTGAGCGAGAAGTCCTTGTTTGTCTTGCCCGTCCTGCACGCGCAGACAAAAGCGAACGCGTTTCGCACTGGGTCCGTCTCGGATTTTGCGCCGAGCTTCCACATCATCATGTCTGGAAGCTGGAGGTTTCGGATCGTGCACCCGCGGGCTAGTGTGTGATGACCCAGGACGGTCATCGTCCGGATGCAGAGGTCGCGATGCAGTGCCTGCGTGTACTGTTGCTTGGCTAGTGTGAAGCTGCTCAAGATGGCGGCCATGCTGGTCTTCCGCATCATCTTCTTGAACTCGTCCGGGTTGTACGTGTCCGCGGCCGTGCCCCGATGGCGATCCATGTGTTCCCTGCGCAACCAGTTGGACGATAGTGAGTCTGTTAGTGAACGCGGTTTCATTGGACATACGCGTTCACTGGGTTGGTACACTTACGCAATAAACCGCTTGTACTGGTCGCGTACTTGAACGCGGACCCAGATGCGACACTCCGCAAAGTCGCGCAGCAGGTTCAGAACGGGCTTCCTGAAGATGGCCCCGTCCAGCTTGATGAGGAGGTTCAAAGCCTTGAGACGCCCCATCAGCATTGCAGGGGAGCACTGGCGTCTCTTCTTCAAGGTCTTGTCGGGCCGCTTGAGTGTGGCCATCCTGTCCGCCTGCGCGACCGTCTCGTTCGCGAGGAAGGTCACGTATTTGCGTAAGCGCCACGGATTCGTCTCAGGGCCGTGGAACCACTGCTCGTCGCCCTCCGCCATCTTCCAGTCACCACCCATGTTCTGCTCGAGCGCGACCCCGATCTCGTCGGGGTTCGTGTTTCTCAACGAGGCCTCCTCACCGAACCTACTCACGTCCAGTTTCGGCAGCTCGTGCGCCATGAAGAGCTTGTACTCTCTGGCCCAACCGCGATACTTCTTCAGCGTGGCCTCAGAGACACCGTAGAGGATGCCCATGCACATCTCTCTTTTTGCGGCCGGCGTGTCGTCCACACCAAGCCTGTTCCAATCCGCGATGGGGACCTCCAAGTCCGTTCGCGTACCCCGCACCCGTTCGTTGTCTTCCGCCTCCTCCTCGTTGAGTGCGGACAGCGAGTTCGAAAGGTAGTTTTCGTCATCGTCATTCCAACTGTCGTCCGCATCGTCAGCGTCGTCCTCGTCATCCTCATCGCTTTGCCCTTCGCTCCCCTCCCTCGATCCGTTGCGTGCCGTGTGCGGCACGACTTCGACTCGCCGCCTCCTTATACGCGGTCTACTGACTGGCACGTTCCCGGTACCTCCGGTCGCGTTAACACCGTTACCTCTGCCGCCGTTGCCTGTCACCCCAGGCGCTCTCCGCCCGTTCGCACTACCTCCGTTCCCTCCCACACCGGTCCCACGTCCCGCGCTCGCTCTCCCACCCCTTCCTCTTGCACCTGTCCCTCTTCCCGCGTTCCCTCTCGCACCAGTCCCTCTTCCTCTTCCTGCGTTTCCCCTTGCACCAGTCCCTCTTCCTCTTCCCGCGTTTCCTCCTGCACACGCTCCACGTCCCGCGTTCCCCGCGTTCGCCTGTGGTTGCCCACCTACACCGGTCGCGTCCGCTGTGGTCGGTTGCGCGGGGGTGCGGATGTGGACGTCCGGGTTTCCTGGCAACAGTGTGCAGGAAACGACCCAGTGAAGCCAGGTGGGCGGCACAGCCAGATCTCCTCGTGCAAGCTGCCATGAAAGAAAGCTGTGATGAAGTCAAGAGAGTGAAGCTCGTAGTCACGCTGAGCGGCGACGTATAGCAGCACCCAAAGAGTGGTCATCTTTGGGTTAGGGGAGAAGGTCTGGAAGAAGTCAACTTTCTGTCGCTTACTGAAGCCTCGTACAGCGTAACGCACCTTGAAGACAGGGGGAGAACCCGGCGGCCGCTTCACCTTGAACATCCACATGCCATCGACTATGTTCCCCCCAGGAGGGGGAACTGCATCGACGTAAGTGCCTGCGGACTTCTAGGATGCCATCTCTGTGCCCATGGCTGTCTGCCACTGAGAGGAGTAGGGACCCGAAATCGCCTCTGGATAAGAGCGCGGGGTCGGGATGTCTGGTGCATCCAGGTCTCCCTCAGGTGCAATCAGCATGGACACGAGATGAGGTACAGCAGCTGCAAAGCACTCAAACTCCTCCTACCTGTCTTCAAGGACGTCCGTGCCAAGTGCACACTCACCCCCGACGGACGGACGATAGACAGACTCAAACTCAGCAACAAGACTAGCGACGTAGTCGAGACGACAGGCAGCAACAAAGTCAACAAGCTCAGCAGCAGTGGACCCAAACGACGGCAGTGGGTCAGTGACAACAGCGGCGAGAAGACGGGTGACAGTAGGACTTGCAGCGCGAACCAAGTCTGACTCAGGGTCTTGAACGTCAGGAAGAGAGGGTGCTGGAGGAGACGGCAAGGGGACTCGCACTGGAAAAGAGGAAGGACGAAGTGCCAGACCATGCGTGCCGGGGACAAGAGGAGGACGCGGACGAGGATTACGACAACTAATGCGAACAGCACGAACAGGCAAGGCAGGACGAGACTCAGGCGGACGACGCTCTGTAAGAGAATCTGTTTGCTCAGTGTAAGGAGAAGGAGCAGGCAGTGGGGAGGCTGGCAGTAACTGTGGCTACAAGTGGTTAGGTGGTGGACACAGTAGAGGTGGAGTAAGTTCCGTAAAGGACGGCAGGCCAAGAACCTGGCGAAGTAGTGGAACGAATTACGGTCGCGGCCGCACAGTGCCTCCAGCACCAGTACCGGCAGCTCCAGCACCCCCAGCGCCAACACTTCCAGCTCCAGGGTCTCCAGCTCCGGTACCTGTAGTACAACCAGCTCCATCACCTCCAGCACCTCCAGCAGCAGTTGTCAGAAAGAACGAATGGGTTGAACTAGCAGCAGGATGGGTACAAGTAGGAAACCCTAATTTGGGTTGTACCCCATATGGGCTACCCCACTACAGCATACACAATAAGTAACATATATGTTTGACACACCCCCATAGGCAAAGTGGGGGAGAACAAGAGGTCACAAGACCAGTCAACAACGGCAAAGAAAGCTCACGGTGGATCACGAAGTCACCACGCATTCTGAGCACAAGCAAAAGGCCACAAGGCCAGTTCACATGCAGAGTTATATATAGGAGAACAAGCAGTACAGTGATCACAACCTAGCAAGGGCAAGTATACAGGAATAAGTATATAGATCACAGTACAGGCAAAGTCAAGAAGTGAGTAAGTAAGGCAAAGTAGGCACAAGGCCTAGAACAGTACAAAAACGCTGATGATCACAAGGCTGAAGTGCCTTGGTGAATATATCAGCAGTGTTGGCCTGAGAGGCCACGTAAACAAGACGAAGCTGACCACGCTGCTGCAACTCTCGAGCAAGGAAGTAGCGCAGAGCGATGTGCTTCGTTCTGTGCTCCAGTCTGTGCTCCTGACACAAGGCAATCATGGCCTTGTTGTCGACGTACAGAACTGGAGGAGAACGAGGCGGCTCTCCCAAGTCGGTCAGCAGGTAGGTGAGCCAGCGTAACTCCTGTGCAGCCATGGCCCCTGCGTAGATCTCAGCCTCACAACTGGAGCTGAGAATAGAAGACGAGCGGGTGGACCGCCACGAAACAGAACCGGAGCCAAGGCTGAAGGTGTAACCCTGTGACGACCGCTGCGTAGCCAAGTCGTCAACCCAAGAAGCGTCTGCGGGACCAGTGAAGACAACTTGACCCCGTCCTCCAAGCATGAGCCCCATGCCCGACGTACTGCACAAGTAGCGCATCACCCTCTTAGCGGCCTTCCAGTGCTCTGGTCGGTGTCTCCCGGGCGCAACGTAGTATGCCAGGATGCTAAGAGGGTAATCAAGGTCAGGTCGAGTGCAGGTCATCAGGTACATGAGGCAGCCCGACCTCCAGCAAACACAGTACCACTAGGCTCAGCGCCCCCAGACTCAGTAACCCCAGGCTCCGCACCCCTAGGCTCCGCACGCTCAGGCTCAGCACCCCTAGGCTCCGACACCCTCAAACTCTGCAACGCCAGGCTCAGCACCCCCAGGCTCCGTGTGCTCAGGCTCAGCATCCCTAGACGCACCACCTTTAGCAGCACCCCCCCCAGCACCACCAGAGTTGACAGCTACCTCTACAGGCTCAGCCAAGGGGAGTGGGTCTACCTGAGACACACCTGAGGGAGCTGTCAGAGGTCCACTGGTGATCCCCGATTGATCCTAGGGAAGGGTAACAGGCATGTTGGCCTGGGGGGTTATGGGCGCACTTACCCGCTACACAAACAAGCCCTTTTATCCCAGTGGTCTAGTGGCTGGGATTCTGACATGGTATCAGAGCGAAGGTCTCGGTTCGAATCCCGGTGTGTGCACTTTGGGCATCCCAGTGCGGGGGGGTGTCAGAGGTCCACTGGTGATCCCCGATTGATCCTAGGGAAGGGTTACAGGCATGTTGGCCTGGGGGGTTATGGGCGCACTTACCCGCTACACAAACAAGCCCTTTTATCCCAGTGGTCTAGTGGCTGGGATTCTGACAGGAGCAGGACCTTGAGGGGGGAGGGGGTCTACCGGAGTGGGACCTGGTGCAAGGAAGAGCGGCGGGGGAGGGAGAGTGGGAGAGTACAACGGTTTATGCCAGCTTTGCTAGCTTGCCTAGACTTTGTTATGCTATATCTAGCTTGGGTTTTATTTATCATGCATAGATCTGCTTGATTTCCTTGGTTAGGTGCATTCCTATATTTTATTATAGTTTTAGCACCGAACAAATTACGTGGACCGTGTGAAGAATGAAGAATGAATGAACTAGCAAGCAGGTGGGTACAAGTAGGAAAACCTAAAAGAGTTGTACCCCATATAGTCTACCCCACTACAGCCTACACAGACTATAGCATATAAGTTGGACACACCCCCATAGGCAAAGTGGGGGAGAACAAGAGGTCACAAGACCAGTCAAGTAAAGCAAAGCAAGCTCAGGGTGGATCACAACGTCACCACACAATCCGAGCACAAGAGCAAGGCCACAAGGCCAGTTCACACGCAAGATCATATATAAAGGTAAACAGGCAAGTGCAGGTATAGAAAGATCACAGTACAAGCAAGGTCAAGAAGTGAGCAAGTGAGGCCAAGTAGCCACAAGACCTAGCATCGTACAGAAGCGCTGATGATCACCAGGCGGAAGTGCCTTGGTAAAGATATCAGCAGTGTTGGCCTCAGAGGCCACGTAAGCAAGGCGCAGCTGACCACACTGCTGCAGCTCACGAGCAAGGAAGTAGCGAAGAGCAATGTGCTTCGTTCTGTGCTCCAGTCTGTGCTCCCGACACAAGGCCAGCATGGCCTTGTTGTCTACGTACAGAACTGGAGGAGAA